AATTCCTTTCAGTTCGGCTGCGCCGGCTACTGTAATCGCTCTAGAAATCAGAGACTCTATGATCTCAATTCCTTTCAGTTCGGCTGCGCTGGCTACTGTATTGGCGACTATCCAGGCGCGACTATTGCCTAACCATAGAGCGCCGTCTAGCAAGCAATGGCTAGATCGTCCGAGCTCTAGCTTCATAGGATTAGCTGGGGGCTTGCTGGCTCCTAAAAGTTCATGAAATTCTTGGTTTTGGGCGCAGCCCCTAAATGATTTACAGCCTGCCATCTTCATTTTATTAATAGAAAAATACGGGCCAGAACTTGGCAGTTTCTCCCACGTGCTTTCCAATGACATTTAAATAAGGAGAGACTATCACCCTCTCTGTGTTACTATTATGCTCTCTGCTCACTCGAGCAGCCTTCCCAATTTCCAGAGTACTAAGATTTCAGCCTTGAGAATTCCCAGGCCCGCTTGGGCAAAAACACTTGGAGGTCACTAGTTTCCAGGCTGGAAGCTGATCTAAAGATTCCTGCATTTTAGCAGGGTTTGGCTGTCACTGGAGATAAAAACTCTGCATCCTAAAAAATGTATTACCTATTTACGTGAGAGCCAGTTTTGGCTGTTCCTGGATCTGCAGACCCTGGCTATGATCAACCATGCCCTAGTTACCTGCATATCAAATGACTTCAATAAATTCTGCATAAGCCACCATTGAAGGGTATCCAAAAGTTACAGCTGGTAGAGAATGCAATGGCCGGATTGCTTATATGTGTTTCTGAAGCAGCACATGTCACACCTCTGCTCCCTGAGCTGCCTTGGTTGCCAGTGTGCTTGCGGGTCCAGTCCAGTTTGCTGGTTTTGCCTTTGAAAGCTCCTCCTGGAGTGGGATTGAGCCTTTCCCTGCTTATTTCAGCCTATTTGATGACAAAGCTGGCAAAGAAGACATGCGGCAAGCACCATCAGCCTTTGGTGGATGCAGGAGGAGCCATGGCCCCCACGTTATGGAATGTTTTGATCTTTTTAACCTCACAGTTTTATACTGCTATTTATGACATTGTAATAATCCGATTGGAGGCCTATACTTTTAGCCAATTAAAATGAATACAATGTATTGACTCTCTTTTTATTGAAGAACTCAAGAGGTCATACAAAGCAGTTCCTGGTTGGCATTCTGAGCCAAGAAAAACGCCAATTTCTCATTTTAAATTCCCCCTGCCAGCCAACCGATATGCACTGACGTATTTTCGGCCTCTCAATTGTCATCTTAAATTGGGATTTCATAACACCTTGCAAGCCTGAATATATTGAAAAACTGATTTTTCAATATAATTTATATTAATAATTTTAAACAGAAGATCAAAAACAAACAGAAACAAATACACCAAATAGACGAAAAAAGAAATTAAAAGTGTCAAAAGAAAAGGCTAGAAAGAAAGAAGTTACTTCCAATCTCCTTTACAATAATTATAATTAGAAATACAAAATTACTTCTTACTCTATGGTTACAAAAACTCTCTTTTCGATAATCTGGTTTGTTTTTTTATAATCACAACTGTAAATGATAACTTCATTTTTTGTTCAGTTTCACACAAATCTCTAATCTCTAACTTCCAATCAGTAATTAATGTAGAGAATGTCTTCTCTCCAATTGAGGAAATCAATATAGTTGTCTCTGAAAATTCCATCATCATCACCAACCATTCCTCTATTGTGGTTAACCTTGAATCTTTGGTGTACATAATACAGTTAATCTTTGACAATAGGAGTTGAAATTTGGATCCTAGGACAGGGGTCCCCAACCACCAGGCTGCAGAAGTGGCAGGCAAGCATGCACGTACGCATGCATCTCCACTTGCACGAGAGACAAGGAATCTCAGAAAGAATTTGGACTTGCCAACTCAAATCTCATGTTCAATATTAAGTAAGACATGTTTTATTAAAAGAATGAGGCAGGACATTAGTTAATTCCTCAGCTGAGCTTGCAATCAGAGATGGGAAATGACATTCAAAAATCCTCTACATACGTCAAATTTTGTCTCATGTGGAATTTCTTATGGGTGATAAAGGAGGAATTTTGTGTGAAACATTGTCCACAATCTGGGCATTTGAATAGTTTCTCCAATGTCTGTAACCTTACATGATCCATGAGGCTACACTGAGCACTGAAATCTTTCCCAAAATCCGGACATTCATGGGGTTTCTCTCCGGTGTGAGTCCTCCAGTGTATCACCAAGTCGGAATTCTCAATAAAACTTTACCCACACTTCAGACACTCATACGGTTTTTCTCCTATGTATCACCAGAGCGGAATTCCAATGCAATTGGATGTTGATGCTGAGTATTTCTTCTGGTTGAGTCTCTCGTGTCTAAATAAACTTGGCTCTTTGGCTGAAAATAATCCAGCAAGCTGAAAACAAGCAATGTATATCCTTGGGAAAAGTTGTCTTTGATCCCATCAAGCTTTCCTTCCAATCAGAAAACTGATGGCTTTTATCCGGTATGAGTCCTCATCTTTAACAATAGTAGAGTTGTGACTGAAACACTGACCACAGTTTAGGCATCTGAATGGCTTCTGATCTGTGTGTAAATTGACATGATTTATTAGATTAGACCTACTTGTGAAAGCTTTCTGACAACTGGGACATTCAGTTTCCTATTATTCCACCAGGTGGGAATGCCAACTAAAACTTTTCCCACAATCCAAGGACTCATTCTGTGTGAATCCTCTGATGTCTCACCAGGTCAGACTTCCAACTGAAAGCTTTCCCACAATTTGGACACTTATAGGGTTTCTTTCCCATGTGAGTCCTCTGGTGTATCATTAGGTTGGCATTCTGACTGAAACCTTTCCCACAATTGGGACACTTATATGGTTTCTCGCCTGTATGGGTCCTCTGGTGTCTCTCCAGGTTGGAATTCTGACTGAAACATTTCCCACAAACTAAACACTCATACGGTTTCTCTCCTGTATGGGTCCTCTGGTGTATAAGCAGATTGGAATTCTGCTGGAAACTTTTCCCACAATCTGGACACTCATGTGGTTTGTCGCTCGTGTGAGTCCTCTGTTGTTGCACAAGGTTGGAATTCCAACTGAAATCTTTCTCTCCTATGTGTGTCCTCATATGCGTCACTAGGGCAGAATTATTATTGAAACTTTTCCCACAATCTGGACACTCATATGGTTTCTCCCCAGTGTGAGTCCTCTGGTGTATCACCAGATTAGAGTTTTGACTGAAACTTTTCCCACAATCCGGACACTCATATGGTTTCTCGCCCGTGTGAGTCCTCTGGTGTATCACCAGGAAAGAGTTCTGACTGAAACTTTTCCCACAATCTGGACACTCATATGGTTTCTCTCCTGTGTGAATCCTTTGGTGTTGCACAAGGTTACAATGAATATTGAAACTTTTCCCACAAACTGGACATTCATATGGTTTTTCTCCTGTGTGAATCCTCTGGTGTTTCACAAGGTTAGAATTATTATTGAAACTTTTCCCACAATCTGGACAGTCATATGGTTTCTCCCCAGTGTGAGTCCTCTGATGTATCACGAGGCAAGAGTTTCGACTGAAACTTTTCCCACAATCCGGACATTCATATGGTTTCTCTCTGGTGTGAGTCCTCTGGTGTATCACCAGGCGAAAGTTCTGACTGAAACCTTTCCCACAATCTGAACACTCATACGGTTTCTCTCCTGTGTGAGTCCTCTGGTGTATCACCAGGCAAGAGTTCTGACTGAAACTTTTCCCACAGTATAGACACTCATATGGTTTCTCTCCTGTGTGAGTCCTTTGGTGTTGCACAAGGCTGGAATTATTATTGAAACTTTTCCCACAATCCGAACATTCATATGGTTTCTCCCCAGTGTGAGTCCTCTGGTGTATCACCAGGCAAGATTTCTGACTGAAACTTTTCCCACAATCTGGACACTCATATGGTTTCTCCCCTGTGTGAGTCCTCTGGTGCATGACCAGATTGGAATTCTGCTGGAAACTTTTCCCACAGTATAGACACTCATATGGTTTCTCTCCGGTGTGAGTCCTCTGGTGTTTCACAAGGTTAGAATAATTATTGAAACTTTTCCCACAATCTGGACACTCATACGGTTTTTCCCCAGTGTGAGTTCTCTGGTGTATAACCAAGTAGGCATTATGACTAAAGCTTTTTCCACAATCTGGACACTCATATGGTTTCTCTCCAGTGTGAGTTCTCTGGTGTATCACCAGGTAAGAGTTCCGACTGAAACTTCTCCCACAATCTGGACACTCATATGGTTTCTCCCCTGTGTGAGTTCTCTGGTGTAACACCAGGTAAGAGTTCCGACTGAAACTTTTCCCACACTCTGGACACTCAAATGGTTTCTCTCCAGTGTGTGTCCGCTTGTGTATCACCAGCGTGGCATGCTTACTAAACTTTTTGCCACACTGTGGGCACTGGTAGGGCTTTTCTCCAATATGGGTTCTTTTATGCTGAATAAGTTGGGAAGTGTAGTGAAAAACTTCACCACATTCGGAGCATTTGTATGGTTTTTCACCAGTGCGGATCTTCTGATGCATAATCAGCTCTGATTTACAATATCTGTTTTTCCGACAATATGAATATCTGTGGAGCTTTTCCACCACTGATAGTCTTAGATTTTTGAGGAGGTCAAAAATATTTGTGATCTCTTCTTGGATGGTTCAGGCTGATAGGTTGAGGCCTGCATTATTGTCTGGAATGAGCGCTACCTCCCCACCGACTTCTAGATATTTCTTCTTTTTCTGAATCTGGAAATGTTCCACCTTTATTGTTTGATATGTTTCCTTGAGTTCCACACACAATACTTCTCCAGCACAAAACTCTTCTATTTTGTTTTGTTGTCTTTTCCTGGCTGGGGAAGGAAACAAGTTTTGTAGTTATCTGGAGGAATTGGAACAGATGTTGTTCCCAGATCTAGCGGTTTCACTTTCGTTTTTAAAGCTGCTGTTGATTCTCTGTCGGGCAGAAGGGGGTTCTTTGGTGTTGCCTTGGTCTGTAAGATTCACAAAAAAAGAGATACTTTAATTTCTCTTCATAAAATGGTTGCAAGATGTGAAAATAAAAGAAAAAAAAGCATAAATAACAATGAAAAAGCAATCATGCCAAAATGTTAGATTAATCACTGCCATTCATTTTGACACATAAAAGACTAATTTCAAATGTTCATACAATCATGGAATTCTATTGTTGACTCGTGCAAATCAGTTTGTCAACACTGCAAATTTTTATAATCATATAGGTACCAAAATACACTGCTCAAAAAAATAAAGGGAACGCTTAAACAACACAATGTAACTCCAAGTCAATCACACTTCTGTGAAATCAAACTGTCCACTTAGGTAGCAACACTGATTGATAATCAGTTTCATATGCTGTTGTGCAAATGGAATAGACAAGAGGTGGAAAGCATAGGCAGTTAGCAAGACATCCCCAATAAAGGAGTGGTTCTGCAGGTGGTGACCACAAACCACTTCTCAGTTCCTATGCTTTCTGGCTGATGGTTTGGTCACTTTTGAATGCTGGCGGTGCTTTCACTCTAGTAGTAGCATGAGACGGAGTCTACAACCCAGGTAGTGCAGCTCATCCAGGATGGCACATCAATTCGAGCAGTGGCAAGAAGGTTTGCTGTGTCTGTCAGCATAGTGTCCAGAGTATGGAGGCGCTACCAGGAGACAGGCCAGTACATCAGGAGACGTGGAGGAGGCCGTAGGAGGGTAACAACCCAGCATTAGGACTGCTACCTCCGTCTTTGTGCAAGGAAGGACAGGAGGAGCACTGTCAGACCCCTTCAAAATGACCTCCAGCGGGCCACAAATTTTTATGTGGCTGTTCAAATGGACACAAACAGACTCCATGAGGGTGGTATGAGGGCCCAACATCCACAGGTGGGGGTTGTGCTTACAGCCCAACACTGTGCAGGATGTTTGGCATTTGCCAGAGAACACCAAGATTGGCACATTCGCCACTGGCGCCCTATGATCTTCACAGATGAAAGCAGGTTCACACTGAGCACATGTGACAGACGTGACAGGGTCTGGAGAGGCCGTGGAGAACGTTCTGCTGCCTGCAACATCCTTCAGCATGACCAGTTTGGCAGTAGGTCAGTAATGGTGTGGGGCGGCATTTCTTTAGGGGGCCGCACAGCCCTCCATATGCTCACCAGAGGTAGCCTGACTGCCATTAGGTACTGAGATGACATCCTCAGACCCCTTGTAAGACCATATGCTGGGGCAGTTGGCCTTGGGTTCCTCCTAATGCAAGACAATGCTAGACCTCCTGTGGCTGGAGCGTGTCATCAGTTCCTGCAAGACGAAGGCATTGATGCTATGGACTGGCCCGCCCGTTCCTCAGACCTGAATCCAATTGAGCACATCTGGGACATCATGTCTTGCTCCATCCAGCAACGCCACATTGCACCACAGACTGTCCAGGAGTTGGGGGATGATTTAGTCCAGGTGTGGGAGGAGATCCCTCAGGAGACCATCCCCCACCTCATCAGGAGCATGCCCAGGCACGTGGAGGCCACACACACCACTGAGCCTCATTTTGACTTGTTTTAAGGACATCACATTAAAGTTAGATCAGCCTGTAGTGTTTTTTTCCACTTTAATCATTCAACTATGTAATGAACAAAGTATTTAATAAGAATATTTCATTCATTCAGATCTAGGATGTCTTATTTTTGTGTTCCCTTTATTTTTTTGAGCAGTGTATATTGATAGGAACACGGGTACACATATATTCACACAAAATACAGAAACACACCCCTCTACCTGTGTGTACCATATGTATGTATCAGTGGTGGGATTCAAGTAATTTAATAGGTCATGTGGGCGTGGCTAGGTGGGCATGTGACTGGGTGGGCGTGATGTGGTCATGTGACTGGGTGGGCATGGCCAGCTCAATGTCACTCACCTCAAGGAGTGCCTCACCTGGCCCCTCCCCTCACAGCCATTCCTTGTCACACTCAGCCTCCACGCATCTATAGTTCTGTAAAAATGTTGTTCACCTTTTTTGACTTTATTATCTACATACTATTAATGTACTTTCTTGGACCACTGAAAGGAGGAAATGGCTCACATGCTTTCCCCAAGAGTGTGATAGGTAACAGGCTTTTAAGGGGTTGCTATAAAGAAGGGGGGGTGGGGGCAATGTATTTTCCAAAGAAGCAGAAGGCAAAACAAGAAGCAATGGATGGGAACTGAACAAAGAGAGAAGCAATGTAAAACTAAGGAGGAAGTTCCTGACAGGAACAATTAATCAATGGAACTACCTGTCTCCAGAAGTTCTGAGTGCTCAATCATTGGAAGTTTTTAAGAAAAAGACTGGACAGCCATTTCCCTGAAATGGCATAGGGTTCCCCCCAAGGTCCCTTCTAAGTATTATTCTGTTATTCTGACACATTTCCCAGGCCCTCTACTCAAAATTTGGCACCCTTAGTTTTCCTGGTTCAGCAGGGGGTTGGACTAGAAGACCTCTAAAGTCACTTTCAACTCTGTTATTTTGTTATTCCTGAGCTAAATAGCTAAGACCCTCATTGGGACCCTATCTCTTTTGCTCCTTCTGGACTAATGAGTTTAAGAGCTGCCTCTAGACATTCGTTTTAATAACTTTTAGAAACCTGCAGTTGAAAGTATTTCATGTCTGCTTACTCCGAAGACCCAAATTTATTTGGAATTTAATCCCAAGATGATTGACCTTTTGGCATTTCTCTTGATGCTTCTCCAAAGTGCATCTCCAAGAAGCCACATCTTTCTCTCTCTCTCTCTCCCTCTCTCTCTCACACACACACAAAATTCCCTTGTCTTGGAGACTTTAGAATCATAGGCTAGGTCCCTTGGAGGTCTTATAGTTGAACCTTCTGCTCAAGGCAGAAGACTTCATATATACTTGTGGGTCTGCAGACATCCCAGCTTCGCCTGGAAGAACTGCAGGCAGCCTTCCTGGCCACACACTTCCTTCTCCCGCTGCCCCATGTGAGGCGGGAGGCCCGAGAGAAACCGCCTAGTCAGGGCAAACAGCCCTTCATGACCTAGCTAGCCCTTTCCGAGGAGCAAAGCATGGCTTGGACAAACTGATCCATCCCGAAGGTGACCTGCAGACCAGCGGCGGTGGAGGCAGAAGGAAGAAAGCGAGCTCCAGACCAGTGGTAGTGGTCGCACTCCAAGAGGGCAGGCGGATGTCCCGGGGCTGCACATGAGCACTGCAGCAGAGGAGCAGTCTCGGCTCCAGTGCAGCGTCTCCCCCAAGAGCCACCTGCCCATCTGCTGGCTGCGGGACCTGATATGGAGGGGAAGGCAAGTGGGTGGCAGTCTCCCGTAGGCTCCGTGGAAACCGAGCGCGCCAGGCAAAAAGGCAAGCGAGCCTCGCCATGTCTCACCAAGGCATCTCTTTGGCTGAGCATAGGGGCTATTTGTATATAGGAAACACACCACAGTAGTAATGGGAGACTTTAACTACCCTGATATCAACTGGGAACCTAACTCAGGAGATCGAACAGATTCTTAACCAACTTAGCTGAGAACTTTGTAATCCAAAAGGTAGAGGAGGGAACTAGAGGAAAAACTGTACTGGATCAAATTAATAAAAAGAAGTGATAGAAGAAAATGAAGTTGCTGGAACCTGGGGTGAAAGTTATCATGCCATATAATCCAACCTGTGTCTTAAAATAGAGTTGATTTTAACAAACTCAGAGAGATCCTTAAGCTAAATTTCATGGATAAAAATCCTGAAGGGGAAAACAACTCACAAAAGATGGGAAACTGAAAAATATGATCATAAAAGCCCAGTCCAACACAATAACACTAAAAAAGAAAAACAAGAAATCCAAGATAAAATCAGAATGATGTCATAAAGACCAATCGGATAAACTGAAAGATAAAAAGGATAAGTACAAAAAATGGAAAGAAGGACACATTACTAAGGCAGAATATCAGCAGATAGCCTGAATCTGCAAAGATAAACTCAGGAAAGCAAAGGCGCAGAATGAACACAGGCTTGCAACAAAAGACAAAGACAATAAAAAAAGTTTCTTTCAACATATAAATAACAAAAAAATCGAGGAAACAGTTGGTTCACTAAAGTGTGAAGATACCAAGGAAGTTACAGGCAGTAGACATGTAGCCAATCAGCATTCTTTGCATCAGTCCTCGCACAAAAGGAAACTATTGCCCAACCTACCAAAAATATAACTGTAAAAGACAGACTAGAAATAAAAATTAAAATAAGTAAGCAAATGGCAAGAGTACCTGTCTAACCTTGATAAATATAAATCACCTGATGGGTTATATCCCAGAATTCTGAAAAAGCTGGCAGATATTATCGCAGTATCATTGTATCTTAAAAAATCTCAGAGCACTGGGGAACTATCAGAGGTTCGGAAAAGAGCTGATGTGGTTCCCATCTTCAAAAAAGGAATAAAAACAGACCCACGAAACTACAGACCAACAATCACCCTAACATCAATATCTGGAAAGATACTGGGAAAAAATAATTTAAAAGAAACCTGTGACTAAGTGACTAAATTAGCAGACCAGCGACAAAGTAGACCTCAACCTACTTCTTGCTCAGCTAGAAAAATGTGGGATAGACAACATCCCCACCAGATGAATTTGTAGCTGGCTGACAAACAGTACCGGGCAAGTAATTCTTAAGGGTACCAGATCCACATGGAGGGGACTAAGCAGTGGGGTACCACAAGGTTCTGCCTTAGGCCCAGGACTCTTCAGGATCTTCCTAAAGGAAGGAGAACTCTTCAAAGCTGCAGATGACACTCAGCTGGCAGGAAGAGCCAACACCCCGGGAGAAAAGCTCAGGATCCAAAAAGATCTTGACAGACTTGAACAATGGGCTCCATCCAACACAATGAAAATTAATGAAAAGTTTTACATCTGGGCAGAAAAAAAACAAAGATACAAGTACAGAGATTAGCTGAAAAACAGAAACTGTGAGAGGAGCCTTGGAGTCTCAGTGGACATGAACCAGCAACTACAAGGTGGAGCGAACCGAAGAGCCCGACTTGCTCCCGGCCTCTCCTCCGACCTGCCCTCCGCTCACCTTCCAGCTGCCGCTTCTTCGACTCAGGGAAAAGTGCAACAGGCACCGCGATCCTCCATTGGGAAGCCGGAAGACGAGGTTTCTCAGCGCTTCTCCTTTCCATAGTCGTTCTAGAAATCCGCGACTCTATCATCTCAATTCCTTTCGGTTCAGCTAACAGGCTCTTGCTACTGCATTGGCGACTATCCAGGCGCGCTTGTTGCCTAACCATAGAGCGCCATCTAGCCAACAATGGCTAGATCGTTCGAGCTCTAGCTTCGTAAGGTTAACTGGGTGCTTGGTGGCTCGTAAAAGTTGAAGTTGAGCCCCTAAATGATTAACAGCCTGCCATCTTCATCTTACTAATAGAAAAATAATGGCCAAAACTTGGAAGTGTCTCCCACGTGCTTTCCAATGACATTTAAATAAGGAGATACTATCTGTATTACTATTATGCTCTCTGCTCACTCGAGCAGCCTTCCCAATTCCCAGAGTACTAAGATTTCAGCCTTGAGAATTCCCAGGCTGCTTGGGCAAAACACTTGGAGGTCACTAGTTTGCAGGCTGGAAGCTGATCTAAAGATTCCTGTATTTTAGCAGGGTTTGGTTGTCACTGGAGATCAAAACTCTGCATCCTAAAATATTTATTACTGATTCACTTGAGAGCCAGTTTTGGCTGTTCCTGGATCTGCAGACCCTGGCTATACTCAGTCATGCCCTAGTTACCTGCATATTGGATGACTTCAATAAATTCTGCATGAGCCACCATTGAAAGGTATCCAAAAGTTACAGCTGGTAGAGAATGCAATGCTTATATGTGTTTCTGAAGCAGCACATGTCACACCTCTGCTCCCTGAGCTGCCTTGGTTGCCAGTTTGCTTGTGGCTCCAGTTCAAGGTTTTGCCGGTTTTGCCTTTGAAAGCCCTTCCTGGCATAGGACTGAGCCTTTCCCAGCTTATTTCAGTCTACTTAATGAGACCTGGTAAAGAAGACATGCAGCAAGCAACATCAGCTGGGGAGCTGCATTTGGTGGATACAGGATGAGCTATGGCTTCTCTGTTGTGGCCCCCACTCTGTGGAATATCCTTTCCCCTGAAATGAGATTAGTTCCACCCCTTTTGATCTTCTGGGAGGCTCTCAAGACCTGGCTCAGTCCTCAGGCCTGGGGCTCTGAGGTAATCTGAGATATGCTCAGGTGGGTCCATGGCTGAGGTAGCGATTTGTATCCATTTTATTGCCTGGGGGTTGTTTTATTTATAATTGTTTTTATATTACTTATTGCTTAGTATAGATTTTTACATTTTTATATGTGCTGTATATATGGTTATGGTTTTTAATCTGATTGTTCTACATCGCCCACCACCCATTTGGTGGGGGGTATAGAAATTTCATTTTTAAACAATTTAAAAATGTAAGTTTTTGAGGTTGACTGTGGAGGGGCTAAACTGAAGGAGAAATAATAAAGGAAGGATACAAATAAATAAAGTAGGATTTAAACTTTGTGGTGGTGGAAGGGGAAGTCAGGGTCAGATAACAAATACTTTACCAGTTAACAATGTGTTAAATCCCTATTGCAGTTCTTCACCCCTACTTGTATCTCCAGCTTTTAGTTTCCCCAATTTTAATTTTACTCTTTCCTCTCCACTTACAGGGGAAAAGCTTTTCTTTTAATCACAAAGGGGAACAGATAGAATGCAGTCTGTAGAGATTCTCAGTCATCCAGGTCATGGTTGTCCCAAAGGTGCTTTTTTCAGGAGGCAATTGGATAAAACTCAGATACTTTGGCCACCTAATGAGAAGGAAGGACTCACTGGAGAAGAGCCTAATGCTGAGAAAGATTGAGGACAATAGAAGAAGAGGACGACAGAGAATGAGGTGGCTGGATGGAGTCACTGAAGCAGTAGGCGTGAGCTTAAATGGACTCCAGAAGATGGTAGAGGACAAGAAGGCCTGGAGGAACATCATCCATGGGGTTGCAATGGGTTTGAATACAGCTTCACAAATAATAACAGCAACAACTGGACTTTCTTGTTCTTTCTTTTGAAGACATTTCACTTCTCAGATAATCAGAGTTGGAAGGGACCTTGCAGGTAATCATGTCCAACTCACTGCCCAAGCAGGAGACCCTACACCACTTCTGACTGATGGGAATCCAATCTCTTCTTGAAAGTCTCAAGTGATGGTCACGGGTGGGATTCCAATTTCTTAACACCTGGTTCTGTGGGTGTGGCTTAGTTGGTGGGTGTGGCTTGGTGGTCATGTGGCTTGGTGGTCATGTTATTGGCTGGGTGTGGCCAACTCAATATCACACATCGAGGCACACATCTCCTCGCCTGGCCTCTCATGATGGTGAGATGTGTGAAAAATGGTAATGTCACTTTTTTCAGTGCCATTGTAACTTTGAATGGTCACTCCACACAAGCAAAGTATAAGCAAAGGAAGGAAAAAAAAACTCCAGAAAAGTTCCTGAGACAGGAAGTCTAGTCCTGCCAAGAATATAATAAAGGTTAACAGAGAGGCAGTTTCTCTAAGCAACACCAGAATGTTTCCTTCCTGCCTTTCTCACAGGATTAGGCCAGTTATTTCTTCTAACAACTGGTTTTCCAAACTGCTTGGAATGTTAACAACCGGTTCTAGTGAATAGGGGCGAACTGGTAGAATCCCACTCCTGGTGATGGTGCTTCTACAACTTCCGAGGACCAGCTGTTCCATTGGTTGATTGTTCTGTCAGAAAGTTTATCCTTATTTCTAGTTTGAATCTCTTCTTGTTCAGTTTCCATCCATTATTCCTTGTCTGGCCTTCAGGTACTTTAGAAAATAGTTTGGCCCCTTCCTGTCTGTGGCAGCCCCTCAAATATTGGAAGATCGCTATCATGTCTCCCCTGGTCTTTCTCTTCACTAGACTAGCCATGCTCAGTTCCTGTAACCTTTCTTATGTTTTAGTCTCCAGTCCCCTAATCATCCTGGTTGCTCTTTCTACGGTCTCAACATCTTTTTTATAGTGTGGTGACCAAAACTGGATGAAGTAGGTGTCGTCTTACTAAGGCTTTATAGAGCAGTATTAGTACCAGACTTGTTCTTGATTGTATCCCTCTGTTAATGCAACTTAGGATTGCATTAGCTTTTTTGGCGGCTGCTGCACACTGCTGGCTCATATTTAGCGGGTTGTCCACTAAGACTCCAAGATCCCTCTCACAGTTACTGCTATTGAGCCTGGTTTCACCCAGTCTATATGTGTACTTTTAGTTTTTTCTTCTCTAAGTGTAGGACTTTACTTTTCTCTATATTGAATTTCATTTTGTTAGATATGGCCCAGTGTTCTAGTCTGTCAAGATCCATCTGGATCTTGAGCCTATCTTCTTGGGTGTTAGCTATTCCTGCCAGCTTAGTATCATCTGCAAATATGGTAAATTCTCCTTCTATTCCCTCATCTAAGTTGTTAATGAAGATATTGAAGAGTACTGGGCCTAAGACAGAACCTTGTGGCCTCCCACTGTTTTCTTCCCTCCATGAAGACTAAGAACTACTCGTTGAGTACAGTTTGCCAGCCAGTTGTGAATCCATCTGGTGGTGGTGCTATCTATCCCACTTTTTTCTAGTTTACCAAAAAGTAGGTTGTGGTCTACTTTATTGAATGTCTTGCAGAAATCTAAGTATATTATGTCCACAGTATTTCACTGGTCAACTAATTTAGTCACTATGTTGAAGAATGAAATAAGATTGGTTTGGCATGATCTGTTTTTAACAAACTCGTGCTGACCGCAAGTTATTACTTTACTTGCTTCTAGATGTTGGCAGATCTTTGTTTGTTTGTTTGTGATCCAAGACACTTCTTCAGCTCTGACAGGATAGTGTGGAATGGAAGGAGTTTTATTTATACTATATATATCAAAAAGGATGCAAATGACCACCTGCCTGCAAGGAATATAAATCCTTCCATTCCCCACTATCCTGTCAGAACTGAAGAAGCTTCTTGGATGAGAAGCGAAATGCCTTCAAAAGAAAAAAACAAGAAAGTCTAGTTGCCTCCTGAAAAAGCACCTTTGGGACATAGAATGCAGTGTATTCTGTATTGAACTGATGTATTTTAACCGTACAAATATGGGGAGATGTTCAACAATGCAATGAGATCAAGAAACTCATGGTGCCGAGTAGGGCTTATGTATCTCTATCACCTAACCAAAAATTCATGACTGCAGTCTTGATGTTTAAGTTAATGAAATGACACCATTCATATCCAAAAGGATGAGAAATGAGAGCAAGTAATATCCAGAAATAAGAAACTGATAAATATTGAGGGAAAGAACTAAGGCAGGGAGGAAAGATTCTGCATAGCAACTTAGTATGTCCAGGAAGGAACGTCGAGCGGAAATGTACATCCAAGTGAAATCAAAAGGCAAAAATAGAATATCTCACCAAAGCACATGGACCGCTAATCACCAGGCTGACCTTTATAGAGGGACACCCTAAACTGCTTTTTTCAATGCAGATCTAATAACGTATGGATGGTGATAGTGTCCATTTCAACTATTGGCTCTGAGCTCTGCTGCTTGGAGGAATCTGGAATAAAATAAACCCAGTATACGCACCCAGTGTTTTGATCTTTTTACCATATAATTTTATACTATTTATGCCATTGTAATAATCAGATAGGAGGCATATACATTTAGTAAATTAAAATGAATAAATTTGATTTTCTTTTTATTCAGAACTGAAAACGGCATATAAAGCAGTTCCTGGTTGGCATTCTGAGCCAAGAAAGAGCCTCTTTTCTTATAAATTCGCCCTGCCAGCCAACCAATCTGCATAGGCATATTTGCGGCTTCTCTAATTAACATCTTCAATTGGAATTTCATAACACCTGGCAAGCCACCTTCCTGTTTAACCTAACTCTGGAACTTGTGGTTTCCATTCAGAGTCTTTGACTCTTATACTGGATTTTTCAATATAATTTATATTAATAATTTTAAACAGAAGATTTAAACACTAACACGGAACACTACACCCAACAGAAGAAAAAAGAAATTAAAAGTGTAAAAAGAAACGGATAGAAATAGAGGTTACTTCCAATATCCTTTACAGTAATTACATTTAGAAATACAAAATTACTTTTTTATGGTTACAACAATTCTCTGTTCTATTACCTGGTTTGTTTTTTATAATCACAACTATAAATGATAACTTCATTTTTTTGTTCTGTTTCACGCGCATCTCTAACAAACTTCCAATCAGTAATTAATGTAGAGAATGTCTTCTCTCCAACTGAGGAAATCAATATAGTTGTTTCTGAAAATTCCATCATCATCATCAACCATTCTTCTATTGTGGTTAAACTTGAATCTTTGGTGTAAATAATACAGTTAATCTTTGACAATAGGAGTTAAAATTTTGATCCTAGGACAAGAGTCCCTGACCACCAGGCTCCACAAGTGGCAGGCAAGCATGCACATATGCGTGCATCTCCACTTGCACGAGAGGCAAGGAATCGCAGAAAGAGCTTGGACTTGCCAACTCAGATCTCATGTTCAATATTAAGTAAGACATGGTTGATTAAAAAGAATGAGGCAAGACATTAATTTCTCAGCTGAGCTTGCAATCAGAAACAAGAAATGAAATTCAAGAATCCTCTACATACATCAAATCTTTTCTCATGGAATTTCTTATGTGTGATAAAGGAGGAATGTTCTATGAAACACTGTCCACAATCTGGACATTTGAATAGTTTTTCCCCTGTGTGAATGGTTGTAAGTCAAGGACTACCAGTATATTGGAATGGTTACTGCCTTTGCAATACTACATTCTATCCACTGCCCACCTGGACTCCTATTTTTGGTAATATATCAAATTGGATATAATAAGAATGGTGTTGATGCCTTAGGAATATTATTATAACACATAGTTATAGTTTCTTACTATGCCTTCAGAAAACTCTTGTTGAAATCCTAATTCTCATTTACTGATTCATTGATTTTTTCAAAGCAAATCATGTCTGAGCATTTATTTTGGTCTTTTGGCAGAAATTAATCCAGCAAGCTGAAAACAAGCAATGTATATCCTTGTGAATTATTGAACTTTTCTTTGACCCCATCAAGCTTTCCTTACAATCAGAAAGCTGATGGCTTTTCTCCTGTACCAGTCCTCTTGTCTTTAACAATAGTAGAGTTGTGACTGAAACACTGACCAGAGTTTGGGCATCTGAATGGCTTCTTATCTGTGTGTAAACTGACTAGAATTATTAGATTAGACCTACAATACTTGTGAAAGCTAATAATTGGGACATTCAAAGGGCTCCTCTTCTATGTCAGTTCCCTATGATTCCACCAGATGGCAATTCCGACTGAAACTTTTCCTACAATCCAAGCACTCATCCTGTGTGAATCCTCTAATGTCTCACCAGGTCAAAATTCCAACTGAAAGCTTTCCCACAATTGGGCACTCATAGGGTTTCTCTCCTGTGAGTCTTCATGTGCATCACTAGGGCAGAATTACGACTGAAACTTTTCCAACAATCTGGACATTCATATGGTTTCTCTCCTGTGTGAGTCCTCTGGTGTATCACCAGGTTGGAGTTTCGACAAAAACTTTTCCCACAGTCTGGACACTCATACGGTTTCTGTCCTGTGTGAATTCTCTGGTGTATAACCAGATTGGAATTCTGCTGGAAATGTTTCCCACAATCCGGACACTCATATGGTTTCTCACCCGTGTGAGTCCTCTGGTGTATCACCAGGCAAGAGTTCTGACTGAAACTTTTCCCACAGTATAGACACTCATATGGTTTCTCTCCTGTGTGAGTCCTCTGGTGTTTGATAAGGTTAGAATTATTACTGAAACTTTTCCCACAATCTGGACACTCATACGGTTTCTCCCCAGTGTGAGTTCTCTGGTGTATAACCAAGTAGGAATTATGACTAAAGCTTTTCCCACAATCTGGGCACTCATATGGTTTCTCTCCTGTGTGAGTCCTCTGGTGTTTCACTAGATCAGAATTCCAACTGAAAGCTTTCCCACAATCTGAACACCCATATGGTTTTTCTCCTGTGTGGGTACTTTGGTGTTGCACAAGGTTACAATTATGATTGAAACTTTTCCCACAAACTGGACATTCATATGGTTTTTCTCCTGTGTGAGTTCTCTGATGTCTCACCAGGTCAAAATTCCAACTGAAACTTTTCCCACAAACCGGACACTCATAGGGTTTCTCTCCTGTGTGAGTCCTCTGGTGTCTCACCAAGTCAGAATTCCAACTAAAAGCTTTCCCGCACTCTGGACATTCATATGGTTTCTCTCCTGTGTGAGTCCTCTGGTGTATCATGAGGTAAGAGTTCTGACTGAAACTTTTCCCACAATCCAGACACTCATATGGTTTTTCACCCGTGTGAGTCCTCTGGTGTATGACTAGATTGGAATTCTTACTGAAACATTTCCCACAATCCGGACACTCATATG